AATGAACTAATGGAATATATATTTATATATAAAGGGAAATTTATTAAATATTAACCCACATGATCACAAGGTCCCACGATAGGTTGTCTGCAGGCTGAGGAGCAGGGAGAGCCAGTCAGAGTTCAAAAACTGAAGAACTTTGAGTCTGATACTTGAGGGCAGGAAGCAACCAGCATGGGAGAAAGATTTAGGCTGGGAGGCTAGGCCAGTTTCTCTTTTCACTTTTTTTTTTTTTTTTTTTTTTTGCCTGTTTATATTCTAGCTGTGCTAGCAGCTGATTAGATTGTGCCTACTCAGGTTAAGGGTTGGCCTGCTTTCCCCAGCCCACTGACTCAAACGTTAATCTCCTTTGGCAATACTCTCTCAGACACCCCCAGGATTGATATTTTGTAATGTTCAATCCAATCAAGTTGACAGTATTAACCATCACAAGTACCCTTAATATGCAAGGCATTGTGCAGGACTCTGTGATGTTAGTAAAATGAATCAGAACATAAGAAATGAAGTGATAGACAACATCTAGTCTAGAAAGATCATGCTCAGCTTAGTGACTGTGGAATGGCCGTGGTCCTTCTAATGATCTGGAAAGAATGGGATCATTTGTATATGCTGAGATTTGTAGAGCCCATTTGAATTAGGAGTTACAATATGGCATCATGATTGTATTTTGGCTCAGTTACAACTTTATGAAGTTATAAAAGTTTAAATGCAGATTAAGGCTACAGTGTGTTGGAATGGGATTAAAATCTTAGGTGTGGCAATGTTGTTTCAAATCCATACCAACTCTAATAAATTGCTAGTAGTATTGCATTGAATAGGATTATGAGGCTGTATCTGGCATTAGGCAAGACAGACGATGGTGGATATTAGCAATGTCTAATATGCTGTTAGTACATTTACCTAGTAATATCTGTTTTAGTCAAGGAGGTCAAATGATTTGGAAAAAGGGATTCACATGTATCAGGGCCATGGTTCTTGAAAGAACTCCCAAACTGTTGTTTTCCTTCCAAAATTAGTACTTTGAGAACAATGAATTCACTTGGTGAATAAGCTTGGATAATAAAAGTTGACTTCTAAATTCATCTCTTAGGATTTGATGAATACATTGCTCTGAAAAGCACCTTGATAAAAAAAAGGCACAATGTCTTCTGAATACATGCAAATTCTCTCTCTCTCTCTTCCTCTCTCTCTCTCGCACACACACACACACACACACATACACACACACACACACCCCACATACACACAACACATACTAGAACCAGAATTCAACCCCTTGCTTTCTTAAGACCTTGACTCAAAATTATAACACCTTGTCAGTGAGGTCTTCTTTGAAACCCTACATATAATTCATAACCCCTTCCAGCTCACATGCACACATACATAGATATATACACATATGCATATATATGTGTGTGATATCAAGGATCTCAATTTTATTGATTGTGTAATCTAAAATTAAAATTAACTTCAGTCATAGTCAGAATCTGCTCTACACAAAAATGTACTTCACCTCTATTTATGTTAATTCATTCAGCCAATATACACTGAGTATCTATAACTTGGCTATTTAGCAGGCACTGTCCCAGGTACTGAGAATATAGCAAGGAACAAAAACAAAAATCTCTGCCCATATGGGGCTAATGTCCTAATGAGGTAGACAAAGATCAATGTAAATAAAAAATATAGAGAGAATTGATAGTTATAAATGCTAAGGGCAAAAAGCAAATCAGGAAAAGGGGATAGGAAGAATGTGTGCATGTGAGTTGGAAGGGGTTGTTAATTACATGTAGGGTTGCAGAGAAGACCTCACTGAGAAGATGAAATTTTGAGTCGAGGTCTGAGGAAAGCAAAGGGTTGAGTTCTAGATCTCTGGAAAGAGAGCATTCCAGCAGAGGAAATGGCTGGAGCAAAGGCCCTCAGGTGAGGATATTCCAGTCATAGACATAGAACAGCAAGGAACAAATGAAGAGAGCGGCAAGAGATGAAGTTAGAGAAAAGGAAGGTAATTAAGTACCACCTTTAGCTTAGGAGTTGGCCTGTACTCCGGGTGACTTGGAGATGTATTGAAGGATTTTCAGTGAAGGACTGCCATACAAAGTACTGCCAAATACAAGTGAAAAAAAGACAACAACCACATAGAAAATGAGGCAGAATAAAAATAGAATGCTGCTGATTGCTGCATTGGGCATAGGCTGTGGAGAAGGACAGAAGGCAGGAAGGTGCTGGCCTATTGGAGTTGACTCTACGAGGGATGATGATGGCAAGGTCCAGAGTATTAGCAGTGAAAGTGTTAAAGAGTAGTCAGATGCTGGATATTTTCAAGGTTGAGTCTGTAGTATTTGCTGTTTGGATATGTGGCATAAAATAATTTAAGGAATCAAAGAAGACTCTGCTGATATCGGTCTAATCACAGAAACTTTCCTTTAATAATGATGTGCTTGAATTCCTGCTCCTAGAGCCCGCTGATCCCCACAGCTGAGACCAATAAATTCCTGCGAATAGGCTTAACTCAATGTGTCTGCTGAGTTTCCAGGTATAAAGAGTGATAGCCATTCCAGACAGAGGAGATTCAGAGGGGCCTGAAGCACAGTTTGGCAGCTTAGCATCTGTCAGCCTCTCTTGCTGGTGCAGCTCCGGCCTTGTACCCTGGCTTCAGACCTTGCTCTTTTGTGTGGATCCTCATGCCTCTGAATGTTCGCTTTTGTTGTCTGGGACAGGAGTGAGATTCTAGCACCCAAGTCCTTAAATGGCATGAGATCCTGATATAGTGCTGTACTACTGGCTACCTACCTCCAAAATGCTTGATGCCATCGACCAGCCTGCCTGGTTTTCCATCTATTTACTGTTGCCCAATCTGTTGACACAGGGCCTGACTACCAGGACATCTGCCTGTTGCCTATGGTTGGACCTCTGTGATGCTGGCACCTTGCCATCCTGGCCTGGACCTTTGCCAGTTGCCCACTGTCACCATCCTCTAAAGCTCTGTGGGTCTTTCCATGTGTTCAGTCTACCAGTTCTTGAGTTAATTCATTCATGTTAGAATTCACTCATTCATGTTTGCATTTATGCATTCAGACTAACATTTACCAAAGGCTAACTGTGGTTCCTTTGTCTCTTAGGTTCATCTGTAGAAGAAAGGTGAATAATTTACAGAGCCTTCTGTATGCTTTATTCTCTAGGTCCTAGAGAATCTCTTAGAGTCTAGAAGGACATAAGCTAATGATGAAGACAGATATTTGAAAGGGAATTGTGATAATTTCCCTCTCTCTATAATCATCTTTTTTTAAAAAATGGAGAATTTTTTTCTTGCAAATAGTGTGATGCAGTGTTTTACAGCCTGAGATTGGAGTTAATCTGATTGAGGCTGGAGTTTTGGCTCTCCCACTTCCTAGCTGAGTGTCACTGGCAAATTAATTTGTCTCTGATTCCTTCATCTTTAAAATTGGAAGAATAACTAGATGTCTTACCATTTGGGAAAATAAATAATGTGTTCATATAAAATGTTTTATCATAGCTTCTGACACATACTAAGACCACAATAAATTTTAACGTCTTCATTTTCTTCTTCTTTTCCTCCTCCTTTTCTTTCTAACAGTCTAAATGGGGCAAAAGAAACAGAGAAAGAGAATTCTTGGTAGGAGGAAAATGTTCTCTGATCACAGTGGCCGGGATAGGAATCCAGGATTCTCACAGTGAACCGCTCTGATCTCAGTCATAACATGGTTTAGTAATTGCCTGTTTATTTGACCTTCTCCCTCATGAGACTTTTGTCTCTATGAGCAGGGATTTTGTTCACTAACATTGGCAGTTCCAGCCTCTTGCACAGTGGCATGTATGAGGAAGTGCCCAATAAATATTTGTTAAATAATAGTAACAATAATAAATAATTAAAGAATTCCTAATGGTGATGTCCATTGTATAAATTAAAAAAAAAAAGGGCTGGGCGCAGTGGCTCACGCCTGTAATCCCAGCACTTTGGGAGGCCGAGACGGGTGGATCACAAGGTCAAGAGATTGAGACCATCCAGGTCAACATGGTGAAACCCCGTCTCTACTAAAAATACAAAAAATTAGCTGGGCATGGTGGCGTGTGCCTGTAATCCCAGCTACTCAGGAGGCTGAGGCAGGAGAATTGCCTGAGCCCGGGAGGCGGAGGTTGCGGTGAGCCGAGATTGCGCCATTGCACTCCAGCCTGGGTAACAAGAGCGAGACTCCGTCTCAAAAAAAAAAAAAAAAAAAAAAAAAAAAGAATTCATCAGATGAAGGAGGAGCCAGATTGTTTCAAGCATTAAGGATAGTGTGAGGAGAGACACAGGATATGATACTTTTCCATGTGTTTATGGAATCTGAATTAGTGCTGGCATCTAGGGTATATATATATATATATATATATATATATATATATATATATATGATACATGAAATTATGAATTTTGAAACGTTGGCAGTAACCAAATTAAAAAGGACCTCTATGCTGGGCACGGTGGCTCATGCCTGTAATCCTAGCACTTTGGGAGGCTGAGGCAGGTGGATCACCTGAGGTCAGGAGTTTGAGACCAGCCTGGCCAACATGGTGAAACTCTGTCTCTACTAAAAATATAAAAATTAGCTAGGCATGGTGGCAGGCACCAGTAATCCCAGCTGCTTGGGAGACTGAGGGAAGAGAATCACTTGAACCCACTAGGCAGAGGTTGCAGTGAGCCAAGAACACACCACTTCACTACAGCCTGGGTGAAATGGCGAGACTGTCTCAAAAAACAAAACAAAACCAAATAAACAAAAACCAAAAAGGACCTTGGATGTATGCTAGCTAAAGAGTTTGGATCTTTTTTTTGGTAGGCAGAGCACATAAGAGTAGGAACTAGACCGGGTGTGCTGCGGCAACTCACGCTTGTAATCCCAGGACTTTGGGAGGCCCAGGCAGGTTGATCAGTTGAGGTCAGGAGTTCAAGACCAGCCACGCCGACATGGTGAAGCTCCATCTCTACTAAAAATACAAAAAAAAAAAAAATAGCTGGGCAGTAGTGGCATGCTCCTGTAATCCCAGCTACTTGAGTGGCTGAGGCAGGACAATCGCTTGAGGCTGGGAGGCAGAGGTTTCAGTGGGTGAGATCATGCTACTGCACACCACTGGGGTGATAGAGTGACTCTGCAACCCTTCTCCACCCTGCTAACATCACAATGCTTCTTTCTCTTGCTTCGTTTCTTTGCTTATGTTGTTCTCACTGCCTGGAATGAACCCTGCCACTCCATCAACAATACCACAATTCCCTCATCACCAATATCCTTTTCTCTCTGCTATTACACTTTAGCCCAAGACTCACCAGCTGCACAGTCTTTCCAAGTTTCATTACTCCCAGCCAATCATTAAACTTCATTCAATGAGAGCTCACATGTGTTAAGCCTCCTGGTGAGTACTTTGTGTCCAGGATTCGATGTAATCCTCACAACAATTCTATTAAAAAGGTACTATTATTATCATGTTTTAAGTTGAGAGATCTGACACACTTTAAGAAATTATTCTACATTTTATAGACAAGTAAACTAAAAGTCATCTAAGGTGAAAGAGTGGCTAAAATATAGCCCCGATACAGCTCCTGTTGGGTTTTAGCATAACATTCTGCTGTTTTGATGAGATCATGTGATCGTGCCCTGTGAACCCATAAACATCTACATAACATTGTTTTTAGCAGTCTCAATTGGGTAGAATATTAAGTTGACAGTCTTCTTTTTTATCCAAATACCATTTTAATCTTTTCTATGTGAAATCCCTTTTCCCATTCCTTTATGATATCTTGGGCAGATTCCATAATTATCTGCTCACTTTCCATTATAAAACTCACTCCAGTGCAGTTTTAAATTTTAATTTATCTCTTCTACAACTTTTTTTCTTATTACAGGCCAGGCATTTGGCTGAAGGGACTTGGAATGCAGACTAGGTACAGTCTGCTCCATCATTCCCTTCCCCTCCTCTCTGTGCTAGGATCCAGTTCCACAGGGTGGGAGGGAGCAGGGAGGAGAGATGTAGAGAAAAGGGCAAACATGTCTTAACTGGTCTTGGCCTTAATTCTCCCCTCGTTGACTGTTTGTGCTTTGGAGACAGGCACTAATAGGCTGGCATGTTCATGGGTGTGGCGGGGACCAGACAGTGGGAATATCAGGGACTACAAGTGCACCTATGGGTTCTTTGAAGGGCAGTGAACAGACTCTTACTGTACAGTTTCCTGACATTTCAGATCCAGCTGCTGCTCCAGTACTTCTACAAGCCCCTCTCATACCAGTTTATGCCACAGGGGGTCTCACAACAGACTTCTTTTGCTGAGGTCTCCTCAGTGAGTGGATGGCCTTCATGACTGGGACTCCAGTAAGCTGGCTCACAGGTAAGTTTCATGATCTCTACACAATCATGAGAAATTCACATAGCCTTGCTATCCCAAAGAGTAGAGAATACAGAAAGCTCTCCTGGCACCCCCACCCTCTGCCCTGTCATCTGTCTACTCATGGGGCCATTGAGGAAATCCATACCTAGATGTTCATTCAGTGTACTGAAGGTGATATTCCTCTGTAGAGGACCCTCTAGCCTATAGATTTTGTCCTTAAACATAGTTTTTAAAATATAAAATATATCATTTAGACTGGGCATGGTGGCTCATGTCTGTAATCCCAGAACTTTGGGACACTGGGGTAGGAGAATCACTTGAGACCAGAAGTTTGTGACCAACCTGGGGCAACATAGCAAGATCCCATCTCTAAAAAAAAAAAAAAAATTAGCTGGGCATGGTAGTGTGCACCTGTAGTCCCAGCTACTTGGGAGGATTATATACACTTTATTATGAATAATAAACATATATACTTTATAAAAGATATATTTCATAAGCATATATTTCATAACATATTTCATGACATATGTATTTCATAAGCATATATTTCATTGTTGAGGTACTATTCTATTTATCATACTTACTGTCAGAATACCTTGAGTTCTTTTTTCATTCTGTTGTTGTTATATAGGTCCCGTGAGATTTATGCTCTAAAAAGATTCCATTTTGATGTATTTCAAGGTTTTGTTTCAAGATTTAGAGATCTTTTTAGCAGTTCTTGTAGTTCTGGATTGGTAGTGACAAATTCTCTTAGTATTTATTTGTCTGGATAAGACTGTATCTTTCCTTCATTTATGAAACTCAGTTTCACTGGTTAGAAAATTCTTGGCTGGTAATTTTTTGCTTGAAGGAAGCTAAAAATATGACCCCAATCTCATCTAGCTTTTAAGGTTTCTGCTGAGAAATCTGCTGTTAATCTGAGGTTTTCTTTATAGGTTACCTCATACTTTTGCCTCACAGCTCTTAAGATCCTTTCATTTGCCTTTACTTTAGATAACCTGATGACTATGTGGCTAGTTGATGATCTTTTTGCAATGAATTTCCCAGGTGTTCTTTGTGCTTCTTGTATTTGGATGTCTAGATCTCTAGCAGGCCAGAGAAGTTTTTCTTGATTATTCCCTCAAATATGTTTTCCAAATTTTTAGATTTCTTCTTTAGGAACACAAATTATTCTTAGGTTTGGATGTTTAACATAGTCCCAAACTTCTTGGAGGATTTGTTCATTTATTAAAAAATTGTTCATTTTTGAAAATTCCTTTTTCTTTGGCTTTAATGGATTGTGTTCATTTGAAAGCCTTGTCTTCAAGCTCTCAAGTTCTTTTTTTCTGTTTGTCCAGTTCTGTTGCTGAGACTTTCCAGTGCATTTTGCACTTCTCTAAATGTTTCCTTGATTTCCAGAAATGGTGATTGTTTTTTATTTATACTCTCTATTTCACTGAGGAATTTTCTTTTCATATCCGGTATCATGTTTTTTATTTCTTTAAGTTGGACTTTACATTTTTCTGGTGCCTTCTTGATAGCTTAATAATCGATATTCTGAATTCTTTTTCTGGCAATTCAGAGATTTCATCTTGGTTTGGATCTATTACTGGTGAGCTGGTATGACCTTTTGGGGGTATAAAAGAACGCTGTTTCGTAAAATTACTGCAGTTGTTTTTCTGGTTCCATCTCATTTGAGTAGACTATGTCAGAGGAATATCTGGGATTGAAAGGGCTGTTATTCATATTTTTTCATTCCATTGCATGCTCCTTTGAAGTGACATTCTCCCCTTCCCCTAGGAATTGGGCTTCCTGAGAGCCAAACTGGTAATTGGTTTTGCTCTTCTTGGTCTAGCCATGTACCAGAGCTACCCAGTTCTGGGCTGGTCCTGGGGAGTGTCTGCAAAGAGTTCTGTGATGTGATCCATCTATAGGTCTTGCAGCTGTGGATACCAGCACCGGCTCTGGTAGAGGTAGCAGGGGTGTCAAGTGGACTCTCCAAGGGTCCTTGATTGTGTTTTTGTTTAGTGCACTGGTTTTGTGTTGGTTGGCCTCTAGCCAGGAGGTGGTGCTTTCAAGAGCACATCAGCTGCAGTCCTCTAGGGAGCATACAAACTTGCTTTAGGGACACCAGGATAAGTGTTCAATGAGGCAGTGGGCAGGGCCATAGAGCTTCCAAGAGATTATGACCTTTGTCTTTGGCCACCAGGGTGGGTAGAGAAATACCACGCAAGTGGGGCAGGGATAGATGTGTCTGAGCTGAGCCTCTCTTTGGATGGGGCTTGCTACAGCTGCTGAAAGGGATGAGGGTGTGGTTCCTAGTGCAATGAAGTTCTATTCCCAGGAGGGTTATTACTGCCTCTATTGAATCATACAGGTTGCCAGCGAAGTGGAGGAAAGTCAGTAGTCACTGGCCTCACCCCCCACACAGATTGGCAATCCTGAAGGCCAATCTCACTCTCACCATGCCCCACTAATGGCACCAAGTCTATTTCCAGGACGCCAGTAACCAGGGCTGAGAACTTTCCGCAGACAATGGGCCTCCCCTTTGAGAAAGCAAGCCCATTAACAGTATTTCAGCAGCTCAGAGAGGCTGCAACAGTAATCCAGCTCCTTCAAAGGGTCTGCAGAATCTCTTGGCTTTCCTGGTAATTTCCTTTGGTAACTCTTAGAGCAAAAGTTCACGCTGTGAGTCTCCACATGCTGCTCTTTCCATCTGAACAGGAGCTGAAAGCTAGTCTTTCCTCCTATCTGCTATCTTAATCCACAACCCCTCCAAAATATTTTTTCAAAATATATACATATGATAGGTAGAACAATGCATTCCCCCCACGAGATATCCACACCTATTCCCTGGAACCTGTGAATATGGTTTTACCTTACACAGCAAAAAATTCCTAACATGGCAAAAAATACCTTGTAGATATGATGACATCAAGGATCTTGCAATGAGGAGATTTTCCAGGTGAACCCAATCTAATGATGTTGAACTGTAAAGGCATAAAGTCTTTTCCATCTGTGGTTAGAGGGAGCCATGACTAAGAAAGAGGAGTCAGAGAGAGGCAATATCATTGGGTTCAAAGATGGAAAATGACCATGAGCCAAGGAATGTGGGTGGCCTCTGGACACTGGAAAAGGCAAGGAAATAGATTCTCCCTGAGAGCCTCTAGAAAGGAAGGCAGCCCTGTGAACACCTTGATTTTATCCCAGCAAACCCACATCAGACTCCAAACCTATGGAACTAAAAGATCATATATTTGTGTTACTTTAGACCACCAAGTTTGTGGTAATTTATTACAGAAGCAGTAAAAAACAAATATATATGTAGCAAAGTTATTTTTTAATATGTTAGAGTAAATCAACACAAAATCCAGAATCAGAGATGTGCTCAGGGACTTCTGAGATATTAGAAGATGTTTTAATTCTCCAAAGTACCAGACTTCAAACTATACTACAAGGCTACAGTAATCAAAACAGCATGGCACTGGTACTAAAACAGAGATATAGACCAATGGAACAAAACAGAGGCATCAGAGGCAACACAACATATCTACAATCATACAATCTTTGATAAACCTGACAAAAACAAGCAATGGGAAAAGGACTCCCTGTTTAATAAATGGTGTTGGGAAAACTGGCTAGCCATGTGCAGAAAGCAGAAACTGGACCCCTTCCTGACACCTTACACTAAAATTAACTCCAGATGGATTAAAGACTTAAACATAAGACCTGGCACCATAAAAACCGAGAAGAAAATCTAGGCAAAACTATTCAGGACATAGGAGTAGTCAAGGACTTCATGACCAAAACACTAAAAGCATTGGCAACAAAAGCCAAAATAGACAAATGGGACCTAATCAAACTCCACAGCTTCTGCACGGCAAAAGAAAGAGTCACTAGAGTGAATCGGCAACCAACAGAATGGGAAAAAATTTTTGCAGTCTACCCATCTGACAAAGGTCTGATATCCAGAATTTACAAAGAACTCAAACAGATTTACAGGAAAAAAACAAACAAGCCCATTCAAAAATGGGCAAAGGATATGAACAGACACTTTACAAAAGAAGACATACATGAGGCCAACAAACATATGAAAAAAATGCTCATCATCACTGGTCATTAGAGAGATGCAAATCAAAACCACATTGAGATACCATCTCACGCCAGTTAGAATCATGATCATTAAAAAATCTGGAGACAACAGATGCTGGAGAGGATGTGGAGAAAAAGGAACACTTTACACTGTTGGTGGGAGTGTAAATTAGTCCAACCATTGTGGAAGACAGTGTGGCGATTCCTCAAGGCCTTAGAAATAGAAATTCCATTTGACCCAGCAATCCCATTATTGGGTATATATCCAAAGGACTATAAATCGTTCTACTATAAGGACACATGCACACGAATATTCATTGCAGCACTGTTTACAATAGCAAAGACCTGGAACCAACCCAAATGCCCATCTATAATAGACTGGACTGGAAAAATGTGGGACATATTCACCATGGAATATTATGCAGCAATCAAAAATGATGAGTTCATGTCATTTGTAGGGACATGGATGAATCTGGAGAACATCATTCTCAGCAAACTGACACAAGAACAGAAAATGAAATACCGCATATTCTCACTCATAGGCGGGTGATGAAAAATGAGAGCACATGGACACAGGGAAGGAAGTACCACACACTGGGGTCTATTGGGGGGAATAGGGGAGGGACAGCCGTAGGGGGAGCTGGGGAGGGATAGTCTAGGGAGAAATGCCAAATGTTTGTGAAGAGGAGGAAGGCAGCAAAACACACTGCCATGTGTGCACCTATGCAACTACATTGCATGTTCTGCACATGTACTCCAAAACCTAAAAAAAAAATAAAAAATGAGAAGCAACTAAATAAAATTTTAATAATTACCAAAAAAGTTCTCCAACATATAAATATATGTTATTTTGTGTTGGTATGTTTTAAACTTCTTATATACTCTTTATTATGAAGTATATATGCACCTGTGGTCTTAATACTACACTG